ACTATTTCTTGTAAAAAAAAGTACAACGTATTCTGTTTAATATGTGTCAATAAAATGGTAGTTTATTAAATTGGTTATTGACAGGTTAATAAATTAGTCCATTTTACTCTTTTGTTTAAAAAACACTCATACTTATGAGCAATTATTTTCATATCTTTATGATTAACTGTAAATGAATACAGACTCACATACAAGTTTTAATGTCTTTTAGAATTTTTTATTTTTTATGATAATGATGACAAAATATTATTTTAATTTAGTTTGTTTAGGTGAGATTTTATTTTCCACAGAAAACATCTTTATTATAACATCACAAAATGTTGACTTTATTTCTATTCCTTCTAACAGGATAAGTGTTTGGTTTGACTGTTGCTATCACTTAAACTGATTGGTGTAGATAAAACTATTAGAGATATGAAGTTATCAGTTAATAATTTACTTTTATTTCTTATCTTTTCATGTAAAGCTTACATTCTCACTCATGATTCTCATGTAACAAATGGTTTACTAACCATTGAGTATTGATTATCACTCAGAAGCTACAATTATTAACTTTCATCCCAATGCACACACAAGGGTTAACATTTTCAAATTAGATTATTCATGTCTTTAAAAATAATTAAAAATCTTATGCATTTCCAGCTGGTGATCCAAGGTTGCTTTATTTTTCAATACTAGCTTCTTAAATAAAACGATAATTGCTAGAACAGCTTGGTTTCAATCTCTTTTACAAAATCTGACAACTGTTAAGACAAACCAACTTTTTCCCCCTGGAAAAACTTGAACTCCATTTAGATTAAGCAATTAAAGTGCAGAAATAAATGTGAAAGTTCCCTAAACAAATTAACAGTTTTCATAATGTACAGAGAAGAACTCTTAGGACTTCCCACTTTGCAAATAACTCTAAAACCCAGTAATATCTTGTTTTCCAACATGTTTTATTTTGCATAAGAAATTATTCTGACTTCTATTCTTAGAGTTACCTGCTACATAATTACCCTTCCATTTTTGTCCAAAGATTAAAACAACAGCAACAACAACACTGACTCAATGAGTTGCTGCAGTCTCAAAGCATCTCAATATGAACAATTTTGGCAATTCATATCAGTGAGACTTCGCGGCAGAATAAACCTTCTCAAATCATATGGTTTAATCCTTTGTTTGTGAATCCACCAAACATGACAAAATTTTATAGTGTAACCAAGAGAAAGGGAAAGGGATCTTATAATTGAAAAATCAATTACAGAACATTGGTGAGCTTTGTGTTTTCTCACTGCCACTTTGTAACCTGATGAGCTCTAAGAATTTGTCATGGATTCACTGATTATAAACAGCTGAGAATATTCTTTCCTCCTTTTTAAAAAAAATTTTCTATTTATTGTCCTCTTTTTTGAAGGGTTTTGGTGAATGCTAAATTCACCAAAAGGGTCTTATTTTTAAATATATTTTGAAGATAAAATGTGAAGTGTATCAATTCAAATTTGTCTATGAGCTATTACTCTGGGACCTTACTATAACAGAGTGTGCGACCTATGAAATTTAGTGTACTCTGTGCCTTCTGAGGATTTTACAGAATCATAACTTTAGAGTAGAAAGAGATAACAATGAATTATTTATACAATTATAATTTTAGAGTAGAAAGAGGCCACAACGAATTATTGAAAAGAAACCACGTTTATGGTTTCTTTAGAATAAACATGAACATTATTAAAACTTAAGAATGTTACCTTTGCCTCATCTGAGTTCCTTTCTCAAGAAACCAACCATGAGGCATCCCACGTAGTATCAAAGGAACATCACCAGATCATTGCATCGGAGCAATGAGATGCCAAACCCCTCATCCAACATGATCACCTAACCATCTGCTGCCTGTTGACCCCATCTCATATAGCTTACAACTCCCCCCCTGTTTTCCCAAACATGGTTACATTTCTTCCTTGCTGTTTCTAATTTTAGTTCATTGAAAAGATGGATTTGAGATTTATTCCTATCTCCTTGGCTGTAGAGTCCTATTAAAGCCTTCTTCTCTGGCAATACTCCTTTAGGAGTTGACTTAAACACAGTTGATCCTAGATTAATATGGGTTTGAATTCTGTAGGTTCACTTATACATGGGTTTTCTTCTGCCTCTGCCATCATTGAGACAGCTAGACAAACCTCTCCTCTTCCTCCTTTGCCTCAGCTTACTCAACATGAAGTAGATGAGGATGGAGACCTTCATGATGATCTACTTCCTCTTATTGAATATTAAGTGTATTTTCTCTCCTTATGATTTTCTTCATAATGTTTTCTTTTTTCTAGCATCCTTTTTTGGTAAGAATATAGAATAAAATACATATACGAAATATGTGTTAGTCAACTGTTTAGGTTATTGATAAGGCTTCTGGTCAACAGTAGGCTATTTGCAGGTAAGTTTTTGGAAAATCAACAATTATATGTGACTTTTCAACTGTGTGGTGAGTCCACACCTCACCCTCCACCTTGTTTAAGGGTCAACTGTGTTTAATTTAATTTCTAAAGAAACCATGACCTGGAGAGGTTGAGTAACTGATTTTGAGATCCAAGGCTAGCCAGTGGAAGAGCTGGGAGTGCATGGAGCACACCTTCAAGAAATTAGCGTGGGTTGAGAGAACGAATGAAACATCACTTCCCTGATGTAGATAGTCCAGAGTTCTCTAGACAAACAGAATTAGTGGAATATAGATATATATGTATTGTATATTGTGTAATATATATATATAATGTATTGTATATTGTGTAAGTTAATACTTAATGAACATATTATGTACATATATATAGCTCACAAGGTCCCACAATAGGCTGTCTGCAGGCTGAGGAGTGGCGGCTCAGGCGGCGGCAGCTCAGGTGGCGGCTCAGGCAGCGGCTCAGGCAGCTCAGGCGGCAGCAAAACCCCGGCCGCTAGGGCGGCAGCTCAGGCGGCCGCTCGGACGTTGGCTCCGGCACTGGCTCAGGCAGCGGCTCAGGCGGCGGCTCAGGGGCGGCTCAGGCGGCAGCAGCACCGCGGCGGCTCGGGCGGCGGCTCAGGCTGCGGCAACACCCCGGCAGCCCGGCCGGAGGCTCAGGCTGTTTGGTTTTTTTTTTTTCAACTTAAATGCATAATTTTTAGGGGTGATTTTATGTTGAAAGGCTTAAGGAAGTTGACTAAGTTTGTAAATGTAATATTGTAAAATTTAAAAGAATCTGAATTAGAGCGGGGTGCACTGGCTTACACCTGTAATCCCAGCACTTTGGGAGGCTGAGGCAGGCAAATCACTTGAGGTCAGGAATTCGAGACCACCTTGGCCAACATTGTGAAACCCTGTCTCTACTAAAAATACAAACATTAGCCAGGCATGGTGGTGTGTGCCTATAGTCCCAGCTACTTGGGAGGCTGAGGCAGGAGAATTGCTTGAACCCCAGAAGCAGAGGTTGCAGTGAGCTGAGCTCACATCACTGCACTCCAGCCTGGGTGAAGAGCAGAACTATTCCATCTCAAAAAAAAGAAAAAAAGAACCTGAATTACTACGTTTGTAAATTTGGTTTATTCGGTTTACAAGAGTCTCTTTAATGGATAGGAAGATATTATTTATTAGAGTTCCACGTCTGCCCCATAAGGTTTTGGAAGTGTTTAAAAATGTAATCAATTAAGTGTTCACTGCTTAGGCAAATTTAACTTCTCAAAATTGGGAGGTAATTAAAAATAATACGTGAAAGTGATTATTCTTATTTTTATACACAAATTATTATTATTATTATTATTATTATTTCGGAGACGGAGTCTCCCTTTGTTGCCCAGGCTGGAGTACAGTGGCTCAATCTCAGCTCACTGCAACCTCTGCCGCCAGGGTTCAAGCAATTCTCCCGATTTAGCCTCCTGAGTAGTTGGGATTACAGGCACACGCCGCCATGCCCGGCTAATTCTTTTGTATTTTAATAGAGACAGGGTTTCACCGTGTTGCCCAGGCTGGTCTCGAACTCCTGAGCTCAGGCAATTCCCCAGCCCTGGCCTCCCAAAGTGCTGAGATTACACGTGTGCGCCACCGTGCCCAGCCCCAAATTATTAAATATATAACTAGATAACAAACTGTGTAAGTTGGACCTGAAAGCTTAAAAGGAAAAAATTAGATTTTTTTTTTTTTGAGATGGAGTTTCGCTCTTGTTACCCAGGCTGGAGTGCAATGGCACGATCTCAGCTCACCGCAACCTCCGCCTCCTGGGTTCAGGCAATTCTCCTGCCTCAGCCTCCCGAGTAGCTGGGATTACAGGTACGCGCCACCGTGCCCAGCTAATTTTTTGTATTTTTAGTAGAGATGGGGTTTCACCATGCTGACCAGGATGGGCTCGATCTCTTGACCTCGTGATCCGCCTGCCTCAGCTTCCCAAAGTGCTGGTATTACAGGCGTGAGCCACCGCGCCCGGCCAAAAATTAGATTTTTTTAAAAAAATTAAAGTTTTAATCAATTGGAAATAAATTCAAACTCAAAGATATTGATTTTGAGCACAAAAGTCCCTTTCAAACATTAGAAACTCGCCGGGCGCAGTGGCTCATGCCTGGAATCCCAGCTCTTAGAGAGACAGAGGCGGGCATACATCCTGAGCCCAAGGAGTTCCGACCTGCGTGGGCAATATAGCTAGAACCCATTCTCCACAAAAAAGGAGGGGGGAAAAAACGTGTAACTCAAGCATTAGAAACTCAAACTGGGCCGGGCGCGGTGGCTCAAGCCTGTAATCCCAGCACTTTGGGAGGCCGAGGCGGGTGGATCACGAGGTCAACAGATAGAGACCATCCTGGTCAACATGGTGAAACCCCGTCTCTACTAAAAATTACAAAAAAAAAGTTAGCTGGGCACGGTGGCGCGTGCCTGTAATCCCAGCTACTCAGGAGGCTGAGGCAGGAGAATTGCCTGAACCCAGGGGGCGGAGGTTGCGGTGAGCCGAGATTGCGCCATTGCACTCCAGCCTGGGTAACAAGAGCGAAACTCCATCTCAAAAAAAAAAAAAAAAAAAAAAAAAAAAGAAACTCAAACTGATAGTGAGGTACGGGGCGGGACTCGACTCTGAGGGCGTGCCTCGGATACCGGACAAAATTGAGGACTAGCTAAAACAGGGACGAGCGGAAGCAGCTTTCCATCAGCTCCCACCAGCAGACCATGTCAGTTTCCCATTGCCATGGCAACACACAGGGGAGTTACCGCCCCTTTCCATGGCAACAATCTGACCACCGGGAAGTTACCATCCTTTTTCTAAAAATTGTCTGCATAAACCTCCCCTTAATTTGCATATGACTAAAAGTGAGTATGCATGTGACTGCAGACCTGCCTCTGAGCTGCTTCCCTGGACGCAGTGCCTATCGGGTAGCCCCGCTCCTCATAGAGCAGCGCCTCTGCTGCTGCTGTACACCGCTGAGGCAATAAATACTGCTTAACAGTATTCCCCCACCCCCAGGAAGCACCTCTAGGCCCTGGACCCCTCGCTCACGCTGGCCCCTAAAACTCCATCTCTCCTCTGCCTCTGACCCTCCTGGCTCCTCCTTCTGCTCCCCTGAACTTTTTCCCCTGACAGATTCTCAAGTAGGACGATGTTCAGGGCCTGACCCCAAACCCCCTACCACCTTATGAAGGTACAACCTTTGCGGGCCCTGCTTTTGCCCCTCCTCAAACCTCACGGCTTTCCCTCTTTGGGACAGAAGCTCTGATCTCCCTCCTTCCTCTCCTCCCTCCCCCTGGAAAAAAAGAAAGAAAGCACCAACTCCCCAGGGAGGGGCAGTAGACAGCAAGGAGAGAGGATTGGAAGGAGAGTAAGAGAACCATTGAAGGAAGAGGCTCACAAGTCCCTGGGAGGAAAGGGCACAGGCTTACAGAGAGGAGAGGAGGTACGGTCAGTGGCTGCTCCTGTCCTCTGCCACTCCTGCCCACTGTCCACGGGACTTCAACACAACCGAGGAGACAGGTTTGTGTGGGGTCAGGTCTGATAGAAGAGAGGTGCAGGAGAAACAAATCGTTAAAACCTAGCGAATTCCCCTAAAACATCTTCCTCCTTTCCTTCCGGAGGCTCCTTGGTTGGTGGGGAAGCAGTGAGGAGTTGGTGGAAAAAGAGGGGGGAGAGGAGCCTGTACCAAGGGACTCTACTCCATTCTCCCCTCTCCCTCACAACCAACTTGGAGCTCACCAGGGCTGGGAGGGAAGCGGCTGAGAGCTCACAGGCACCCGCTCTGCCCCGAGAGGGAGCCCACAGCTGTGGGAGGAACTGCTACTGCCGCTGCCACAGCTGCCGCCGCTGCTGCTGCTGCCACCGCCGCTGCTGCCGCCGCCGCCATTGAACAAACCTCACCAGTACCTGGTGGGTGTGGGGTCCCCCTCAGCAGGTGGGCTGTGGTTGGGGGGCGACTCCTGGGATGGGGGGCGGCCCCCCCCAGATGGGTCTGCCTGTGGCCAGCCAGCTGGGCAGGGGTCTTGCACGCTGCACAGCTTGCAGAGGATGCGGTCAGCCCGCGGGGCCTGGAGCCCGTGGTCCTTCACAGCGTGGATGCGCAGGCATGCTGCCGTGGTGAAGCCTTTGTTGCAGAGCTCACAGACTTGGTGAGGGCCCTGGCTGTGCACCTTCATGTGGTCCGAAATATGAGCCGAGCTCAGCCTCTTGCCACACATGTAACATGGCACCTTCTCCTCGTGTCGTACTGTGTGCGCCCGCAGCCGATCCTTCCTAGCGACAGCCGCTTCACATTTCTCACATTTGAAGGGCCGTTCTGTTGAGTGCACTTGTCTGACCTGACTGTTGAGGTGATCCTGCCAGGAGAAGCTCTTGCCACAGTGGGAGCAATTGTAGGGCTTCTGTACAGCGCCATCAGGTGAACGCACGTGGTAGCTCATGCGGTCCTTGCGCTTGAAGCGCTGTTGGCACACCCGGCACTGGTAGGGCTTTCTCGTCCCAGTGAGACAGCTTTGTCGGTTCAGGTGGTAGACATCGCGGAAGGCCTTGCTGCACATCTCGCAGGCGTGGTTCTTCCGGATGCGCTTCCCCTAGGCGGTCGTGGTCACCACGCCACCGGCGGCCACTGCGGCCGCGCCGCCGCTGGCACCCACTTCTCCTCCTCCCCCGCCGGCTCCGCTCAGCTGGGTCACGCTCAGGAGGCTCAGGGGCACCATAGTGGGCATCTTCATAGCACCCGAGGGACCCGGCCGGCCTTGGCTCCCGTGTGGATGGCTTCCTGCCTCCGGAGGTTGTAGCAGTTCTTGAATTCCTTGGCGCAGAGAGCGCAGATGTAGGGCCCCTTGCTCTTTGTCTTCTCCAAGGCAGACGCGACTGGGGCCACGGCGACCGTCGATGTTGGGGCTAGACGGCGGTGGCCGCCGCTGCGGCGATGGTGGCGGCGGAGGCGGGGGACGGGGGGGCGCGGCCTCGGCCGCAGACGCCAACACGGGTGGGGGTGGCGGAGGGGGCGCCAGGGGCTGTTTCAGGGCCGCTGTGTCCACCGTGGAGGCGGCGGCCGCGGCCGACTCCTGGGCAGCAGCGAGCACCGGGAGCAAGTCCACCTGGGGGGGGCTCGGCCGCCAGGGCCTGGGCGTGGGCGGGGGCGCCGGGGCAGCTTGGAATGCACTCTGGGCGCAGCCCTGGGAGGCAAAGAAGCGGGACTGGAGCTCAGCCCCGACCTGCAGGGGGTTCTGGGCGTGACCCTGAGGTGGCTGGAAGGAGTTCATGAGGCCGCCCACCCCCTGGGAGTCCAGGCCCCCCACGGGGAAGGCGGGGGCCAGCAGCGTGCAAGGGAACACCGGGAACAAGGCCTCGGCCGCAGCGGGGCCCCCAGGGCTCAGCTGGGGCTCGGGGCGCTGCCCACCGCTGGCCGGCAGGCCTGGGCAGTGCCGAACGCTTGGCCCGCGGGCCGCCCCGCCGCCCGTGCACCAGGGCCGGCGGGAGGGAAGGAGGGCGCCTTGCGTGCTGCGGAGCGCCGCGGCGAGGGCGGCGGCTGCTGCTGCTGCTGCAGCCTCTAGAAATCTTTTTAATTCAGTGCTCTTGTCACCCTTACATTGAGCAGTGGCACACTTTTTTAAGAACAGACAGAATGTACATATGAGTTCTAAGGCATTTTTGAAATATATCCATTATTAAATAATAGAGAGAGTTATCAAACGCAAGTCTCCTGTGTCCTAAGTCAGTTTACTACATACATACAGGTGAATTGATGATGTAGAAAGCAATAATATTAAAATGCCAAACATCGGGCCGGGCGCGGTGGCTCACGCCTGTAATCCCAGCACTTTGGGAGGCTGAGGCGGGTGGATCACAAGGTCAAGAGATTGAGACCATCCAGGTCAACATGATGAAACCCCTCTCTACTAAAAATACAAAAAATTAGCTGGGCATGGTGGCGCGTGCCTGTAATCCCAGCTACTCGGGAGGCTGAGGCAGGAGAATTGCCTGAACCCAGGAGGTGGAGGTTGCGGTGAACCGAGATTGCGCCATTGCACTCCAGCCTGGGTAACAAGAGCGAAACTCCGTCTCAAAAAAAAAAAAAAAAAAATGCCAAACATCACATCAACTGTCCCAGCAATCCAATGCTCTTGGTCCTAGTACTATCCAGAGAATTTTAAAAGAAAAACATTACTTCCATTGCTTCTTTTATTCACTCATGTATTTATTATTTTCTTAATTTACTTATTCATATTTTGCCATCTAATGCTGAATATATCTGTTACTATGAACTAGATATGTATTTGATATCTACATTGGTAGTAATTTCATAACTATAGGTAATGCTTATATTAATATTTGAAAAATCTCTTTGAAACACAAAATTTTATATTAATATTAGGTAATGTAAATGATGAGAAATGAGGGATAGCTTAAATCCAGTGGCAGAAATAAATTGCTCATGAAGGAAGTGAAAAACTCTAGCAGAGTTCTGCAATTTGGAGACAACAAAGAGCACTAAGGAGTGGAAGGAGCGTGTGATGACTTGGTAATAAAATAAAACTTTTAATTTTGCTAAAGAAAACAATGTTTTCTACATGAGAATAGTAGAACACAAGATTCGTAAACGTTTAAACACGCGCACATACATACACATATGCACACACATAAATGTCATATCCTAGATCTTGCTGTTACTAATAGATGCAAACCCATCATAGTCTTAATTTTAAATACTTTGCTCTCTGACAGCTCACTCTCAATGATAACTCTTCATGGACCTCAGACTTACTAGAGCTGCCATTTTTCTATGCTCCTCATTCTAACTTTTCTGTTCTACTCAACTTTAATTGATGAGTCAGTGATCACAACAACTCAGTTGGCATTAACCTTTGCCCTGCTCACTTTGTCCAGTTCCTTTGTATTAACAATCCTGGTTAAATCTTCACTACTGCATACTCCATACTCTGCTCTTACAGATGAACTTAATGTGGCTGAAAGGGGTCCTGGGGTTTGGCACCAAACCACCCAATAAAATAAGAAAAATTTTGCAGTTTGCGGTGTTAAACCTTAGAATGTTTCGACTGTTCATTTTTTCAGTACCCATTAGAAACCTAATAGTTTGCAGGTTTATAAACGAGGTCTTACATACATAAACATATAATAACTATTGTGGCAGTGAGATTCCACAGCCGGTAGTTATACTTAGAAAGTTGTTTCCACTCAGAAATGTTTGATTAATGTTGATCATGTTAATCGTAAAATTTTTAATGTCAAGAGCAATATAAAACATGTCAAATGACAAACATTGGAGAACACACATATTTAACTATCAAATTATTCACATCATCTATTAGACCATATTGGCTAATATTTTTAGGTCTTTTGTTAACAATCTATCAACCTGCTTTCTTTGGCTATTTCCCAATTACAATTAGCGTGATAATTTCTCAAAAATTAAGGAAAAATAAAATCTGTTTTTGTATTCATTTTAAAGAGACTGTTTTGTATGGCAACTGTTTTTTTCCATGCAAATTTTAAGAAGATATTGCTTAAATGTACAAATGTCTTTAATGTTACTAAGCAGTTGGTTTTCCTTTTTGAGAATATTTTTTCTACCAGAGATAATATAAGCACAGCAGATATCTTAGGAGCTATGCATGTGTGTGTCTCTGTGTGTGTGTGTGTGTGTATCATTATATATGTGTGTTATGTATATGTATATATATAGACTTATGTATATATACAGCTATCTATATGTGTATATAGAGACAGCTGTCTATACATATACACAGCTGTCTATATACTATCTACTTTCTAGAGAGTAAGTGTGTGTATATATATATATACACATATACAGCTATCTAGCTATAAGACTCTCTCTCTAGAGAGAGAGAGAATCTTAGTCAAGATGCACATGTGAGTTGAAAAGTTCAGGATAAGGCCTAGAGCATTCAGTGACATAAATGGTGGAAATACCATTTCATTAGCTTAAAGGACATAGTTGCCTTTTTTTAAAAAAAAAAAAAAAAAAAAAAAACAAGTTAATGCCAAATCAATTATATCCAAAAACAATGTAACTTTAAAAACAATTATTTGTAATATTTCTACTTTTGTAAAAAAAAAAAAAAGGGGTCAAAGGTATCAATATATAGCATTATTGTACCCATACAGAGATAAGATCTTTTTTTAACATTTTACAGATGTGAATTTAAATGATGTATTGTTTTAATATCTAAATGGTGAATTACATATATGTATATTCTTTATATTCTTTCTGTTGGCATTTTTGCTAGTGCTTTATCTTCAAAATAAACAAGCAAAAGGAATTGTATGAAAATATCTTAAATATTATTTAACATTATACACTTCACATGACAATTTTATAAGTATGAACCATGCAATAATGCTGAGTGTCTGATTCTGTATTACTTCATTAGTGTAAAGATGCAGAGTATAAAATATTAGATTGCAATGATATACACTATAGTGTGACAAAGGGAAACAGATTTAATGTAAAAAACAAAGTCTTCAGCAAAAGTTTTGTGATATTGAAGAATGTTCATCACGATAACAAATTTCCATTAACCATGTGATCATTGAAATTTTAACATCTTGAAGCTTACTGAATTTTTTTACCTTTGTATGTCTTATTTCTACTAAAAACATGGAAAAAATATTTTTATATAATAATAATAATGAAATACATTATAAAACTGGAGGGAGACATCTATATTCATGCTCATCTAAGTTAGTATTGGCTCCTTTTCCTTTGCCTAACTAAAAACTATAGAAATAATGGATAAAACATATATTTAAGATGACTTTTAGGACAGTAAAATGATTCTGTATGACACTACAGTGGTGATGTGTGTCATTATATATTTGGCAAAACCCATAGAATGTGAAGCACCAAGAATAAACCCTACTGTAAACTATGGACTTTGGGTGGTGATGTACCACTGTGGTTCATTGGTTGTAACAAATGTACCACTGTGGTGCAAGACGTCAACAGTGGGGAGGCTGTGTGTGTGTGAGGATAGGAGCTCATGATAACTTCATTTCCACTCAAGTTTGCTACAAACCTAAAACTTTTCTCAAAAATACACTTTATTAAATTTTGAAAACTATAAAATCAATGGCAAAATTATACCCATATTCAAATACAGACCTCAAAGTCAGATTAGTAAACTGGACTTGATACCACCATTAACCAGTGTGTATCCGAATCTGGGAAATGTGGTTTCACACTGTCCAAAGTAGGGATCTGAAACAAAGATCCTTTTATAAAGCCTAAAATCTGGAGGCATTTCAGCACCTAAAAAAGCTGTATAATCAGCATAAGGAAGCTGCAACGATGCTTACTTTCTGCCCGTGGTCACGATGACGGGAGAAAAGAAAAAAAACAGCCAAAACAGCCACCTACAAAAAATCAAAACTCAAGATCTGTTTTAGCCCTGCTCAATAATTCCACCATGCACTCCTCTGTAATCCAAAAGCAAGAAATCAACATGAAAACTGGTTCAGGAGTAGAGAAATCCTTTTTGAGCCCTGACAAAAAAAAAATGATACTTGATTAAGATACTTTTGCAATATAGGGCAAATGGCACACAGAATTCCTTAAGGGAAAAAGCAATTTGCAATGAAAAAAAGATACCTGTGATGTTTAATTACAACATGTAGCAGAATACTTTGTTTTTCTACCAATGTGGGTGATAAAAGAATGAGAATGATAATATAAAATTAAGACAAAAAAAGAAATCCAGAAATAATAATTTTAGAAAGCTTGCTGTATTCACAATAAGAATGCCATCATTCAATCAAACACAGAATTTGAGGAATTACCTCTGGATTACATGGTATTTGATGCTCCAAGAGGTATAAAATGTTTGATGTATTCATTTAATGTATTATCAAAATAGTATATGATCCAGACTTTTCACAAACAGAAAGTGAGAAGATTACATTATCAAGATAAACTTCTAGTGTAATAGTGGCATTGCCTGAAGTATTTAATGAAACAGCATTCGGAGTCCTCAGCTCCCGAGATTCCCATGCTTCAGAAGTCCAGTGATGACAGCACGTTCTTATGAAAGAGTTTATCATTCTTTCTTACAAAGCAGATATGATTATGTTGGTAACATTGCTTTTCTTTTCTTTTATTGCAACAATAATACTATTGCAAATATTTGAACATGCATCGCATCTGCAAAATCCACAATATGTTGTCCATAGGGTTGAAACCCTGCTCTTTAACAGTTTTATAGGAAAAGAAAGCTAAATACTTTCTTGTTTTTAACATAGATGATAAAATTTTTTTGGATAGCATTGAAGAGTTCAAAAGGTGATATAAAGAGTTTTGTCTGTAGCTTCAGTTAAATAAAATTGGTTTCTTCTGAGAATACAGTACAAATATGTTTGTATGATACTGTTTTTACAAATCATTGACTCATAATATTCCATCTTACTTTTACAATGTGGTGGTTGATCCCATGGTTTGACTTAGATTTTAAAATAATAATTATTGTAAACAAATGCTGAATTCTAAGGAAACAAAGGAAAACCCAGAAAACCCATTAGAGATTTCAAAGGAGTGAATGAAATATAATCTTTGCAAATAGAGTAAGCAGAGGAGATCAAAAGTTGACAGTTCAAGAGAAATGTTGGGGTTAGATTGTTTTAACTATTAGGATACATTATACTGGCAGATAGTGCAATGAAAGCCCCAAAGCTTACTCCCAGCTTGCTTAAGCAACTCATTGCCTAGTTCACTTGACTTCTCCATGTTCTCTTTCTGCACCAACATGACACAATTCTGTGATTCACCAAAAGGAACACGTTATTCCAACAGTGAAGGGTCTGTGAGAGACCACGTGAGCATGAAGAGGAGTGTTCAGGGAAGTGTGTAGGACATTATACATTGGCTTTCTCCTATAACCCCATGTAGAGGTTTATCAGTAAGTATTAGAGAAAATGGGTGGATAAATCTACATTTCATTAGATTAGAGAAAGTGTATATCAAGGAGGAAGACCCATTTCCCATTTACCACCATAGAGGAAGTAAGAGAGCAGAATTTTATAGAGATATAAGTATACAGAGGGATAGAGAAGTCAGAAAGTAGTACATTTAACAAGATGTATATGCAAAGCTGATTAAAATATTGATAAACTAGAGATATTATTCACTTTAAAACTGGCAGTTAAAGTCCTTTGGCAGCTTGATCCAATTGCATTTGAAGTATAATTCTATTTTAAATAATTGATTGAGACTAATATTCAGAAGTTTAGTATGTACTGTAAGCAATGTTAGAGCTCACCAAAGCTCAGAACTATATCCCTTGTTCAATTTCTTTGCTGATGAAAATATGCCTTAGATTAAATTTTCAAATTATTGTAAAAGCTAAGTTTTCAAGTGAATGTAAAGAATGTGAAAATTGGTAGTTTCACACAGCTCTAATGCCTTTCTATGAGTGAAAGGATGAGAAACAGATTCTATTTGATTATCTATGCATTTACCATCTGTCTTGTCTGCGTTTTTCCTCTGAGCATCCTACAGAGGACCGTACAGCTAAAAGGTTTTCCATTATATGTAATTTGAAGTAGAATGAATGATATGCAATCATATACAATGTGAGAAAAATTATGACCATCTCCAGAGAGACTCACATTTAGCCTCAATTTACTCCCAGAAGGCATGGGACAGACATCCTCAGTAGTATCTGAGGGTCAGACTGTGGAGAGCGAGCCAGCTTTCCTGTTACTTCAATAGGAACGTGTCAGTCCTCTGCTAACTTGCGTACGTTTTATGCCCACACATTATAGATTTAACTGGAAAAGGAGGCAAAGCACCAACCGAGCACAAAATGGCTCTAATGATTTTTCCCATTGTATTGTTTTCCTGCTTTGTACCTGAATTTCCAGACATTTTCTGGTTTCCATTTACACAGAAATACAAGTGGGTATAAAAGATTAGCCATTCCTGGGAAGCCTGGTGTTTAGAAAAGTTAGGTTTTGTTTTGTTTTGTTTTGTTTTTTGGCTATAAGGAAGAAAGGCATGCTCAAGTTCTTCTAAGAAAAACATGGTGGTATATTTAGTGTGAAGAGATAGCTTCATCTATGGCCTGGCTCTTCAGAAACTTGCTATTTCTTTTTGCTTCTCAGGGTGTCTATGCCAACATCCCTGGAACAAATATTATCTCTTCCTGCAATTCTATTGTCTGCTGGTGTTGCTGGTAGAGCTACACTAAGTGCTAGGCAGGGACTGAAGCTGCAATGGGCATGGGAGCTTACTCTAGGGAGTGGCTGGCTGGGGAGATTCAGATGATCTCTAAGCCCGCAGCTCTGAGCTCTGAGTTGAAGTTCTGCTCTCCAAAGTGAGCATGACTCAGAAGCATTTTCGGGTCACCTGTCTTTGCTAGCCTTACCTCACTCTTCTCATTCTCTTAAGAGGTTTAAGAAGAAATGAAAATTATAGGGCTTGGTCTCGACATAGCAAGAACTGCAGGGAAGATCATTTGCTTTCTAACCTGATTTCTTCTTGTGACTTCAGAGGCTTCCTTAATTTCTAGTTAGAAATGTTTATCCAGCATATTTCATTATTATGTATGAAGTATCTGCCTTGAGCCAGTCAATGTTGGAGGCAGTGAGAAACAGTGATGGGCACGTCAGATGAAACCCTGCTCTGATGGACCTAGAATCCTAATGAGTGATAGTTCATAACTATACTGTATGTTTTCGGTTAGTGATTAATGCTTAAAAGCACTCATATCAGAATCAGGAACTTATTCTTCAAAAATTATGATAGATTCTCTTTGTATTTTTCAAATATTTTGGTGGTATATAATAGAGTCAGTTTCTTCAGGAGCGCTCTAAGCTTGATTCCCTTTTGGAAAATACATACTACAAAGGCAACATTAGAAACCCCCATGATCCAATCACCTCTCACAAGGTCCATCCACCAACATTTGGGATTACAACTGGGCCTGAGATTTGGGTGCCACACAGAGCCAAACCATATCAATGGTTAACTCAGCACTTGTGTTCCATACCTTTTCTTCTTGAGATCCCATTAAAAATATTAAATGAAGAAACATAACAGCCAAGGGAAAGGCAGAAGGACCCTTCCATGAAAAAAAGATTGAAACAGATATCTTTAAGGAAAATGAGAAGGAAAACTTGTTGAAGGATGACACAGATTGGGAAGAGGATGCCCAGAGTGTAAAGGAGGAGATGGGATGGGCAGCAGGGCTCCAGAGGGCTACCAGGCTGTGCATTCACAGGTCAGAGGAGCAAAAAGTGGGTCCACCCACAGCAAGAAGGGGACCTACCGTGATCCCCCTCTCCATGAGCTACGTAGGAGGCTGAGGCAGGAGAATTGCTTGAACCCAAGAGCAGAGGTTGTGGTGAGCTGAGATCATGCCACTTCACTCCAGCCTGGTGACACAGCGAGACTCCATCTGAAAAAAAAAAGAAAAAAAATCCGTAAGGTACTTATTTATTGTGTTTATCAGTTACTTTTCTCTAAACAATACTAGAATGTGAACTCTACAAAGGCAGGGATTATGTTGTTTCTTTTGTGTTGTTGACTGCTACAAGATATCAAACTGATGTATTTAAGAATTGCATTCACATGATAGGTGATCAATCAATATGATGGGATAGATGAGTGAATCTAAACACTGTCAAATGATATATAATCAGTTCACAGTGCTCTCTAATAAAAGGATGACATGTTGAGCATAGTGCTTAGTTGGTGCTTAATAAACTTTCATTGAATAAAGAAACAATGAGTGAATGAATGAATTTTTGAAATGCCTGCCATTCCTATTTGATGATAAGGTTTATTATCTGACTATTTAATCTAATTATCCAAGACTCTCTGGTGTTAGTTACCCAATGTCCAAATATAAGTTAACTAGAAATAATAAGCTGTCTTTGCTGGGTATACATTTCTAACTAAATCAAATGAAAGTATATCCAACTATCAGAAACCTAAGACAAAATTAAACATTTTTTCGCTGAAATTTTCTCCCTTATATTTTCATTTAATAAAACTTTAATTACAAGTGTATATCTTTTATAGACTCATTTGTATCTTTTTTTTAAAAAGAAGGCACACATGTACTTTTCTAAAGCAACATAGGAAGGTAGGAGATGCGTCTGAGCTGGTGGTGGGGAGGCCTCAAGATGGCTGCCCATGAGCGGATGCCACCTGACAGGTGCCAGTAAAGAAAGAAAATTAATTTTCAGATCCATTGCTGCAGGACTGAGAAAATTTATTTCAGGAGCTGAGCAACTTGTCATTGCCATTCCAGCAGTTCTGTTTACAATTCTGACTTTCTTCAGTCAAGAGTCTGAAGATTTGGTACCCCAGGATATGCAAGTCTTCTGCACCTGTGGATTGATGTGATGAAGAGTCCCACTGTTCAGTAGCAGAGGCCTGTCAGAACAGAGCTGACAATTTTTCCCTCTCATTTTGTGTGATGTGCCTTAGGACTAAGGTTAAAAAAAAAAGTCGTTATTTCTTCACACAAAAATAAACACAAAATTCTTTGGTGATTTCTGGATCTCAAGTGACAGTCTATTGCTCCCCACTGTTACCTACTTACTTTTCTTGATCAAACTTACATTTTCGTATCATCTCTGCCTAGCTAGAGTGATAGCAATGGAAAAGTCAATCAAGATAGGGAAAGAAGATTCTGACGCTTAAACATACTGAACAATTTATAACTTTATCATTGTCTGTAAGTCTATGCTCTCATGCTCTGGGGTTAATTTAGTCTCATGCTGTTATCACCATGAAGACCAATGTCAGTGTGGGATTGAATTTTTACATTATTAAGTTGACCAACCAATAACCTCAGACCTACACAAATCAAGGACTCAAACCAGGCACAGCAGAAAGCCCTGCAGACAGCGCTCTTGATCAAGGGGCTGTTCCAGTGAAGGAGTCAGCATGTTTCTGGAAGTGAAGGTCAATGTGAATCCCACATGGCACTGAGGACACCATGTATCCCAGCATATGCATTGCTTGGCTGAGGGGTTTGGCTTCTGAGGGCTTTGTTCCTAGTACTTTTGGATTCTTCAAGTGGTCCAGGACTGCTGTGCCACTTCAATGTAAGCCCAATTTTGCTTAGCAAGGTCTCAAGCCAATCCTTAGAAACCTTTTGTTTCTGGTTCTAGTAAATAAAGGGCCCTAGGGGACTTAGATTAGGGAAACCAGGTGAATGTCAGTGCTTATCTGATGAAAAATGCCTCCTTCTAAGGCAAAGTCTTCCTTCTTGGTAGCCAGACTGCTTGTCTGTGTGTGTGTATGTGTGTGGGGTGGGTAAGAGAGGAATCTAACATCTTCAAGCTATTGCAAAAAGAAAAGGCAGTTCCCATTTAGAGTTTGGTTATAGAAAATGAGATGAAAGGAAAATAATTATTTAGATAATCTTACACACTTAGGCAATAGGTTCCTTAAAGCACGGGAGAAACGTCTCTTTTATGTAATTGTCTAATAAGTTAGACAAAAAAAGATAAAATCTGATACATGTGTTTGAACTGACTGTGTATTGTAATCATGATAAAGCATTGCCTTGCAGAAAGCTACTGAGAAAGTAGACCAATGATACTTTCTTCTCATGATAAGTTATTTCCCTTAAATGTATGATTTGTGTAAAGTGAGAAAATTTCCCATTCTTTTGAAAGAGTGTGTTTCCTTCTTTTAACAGACAGCAGTCAGAGCCTAACAAGAGAGCCTGTCTCAGCACAGCTGTTCATCCCAGTTGTGCTTAGTGACATTTTGGAGCCATGTCCTGCCACTTTGGTCTATGGGAAGACCCATGTTGCTTTTTCTCCCTTGTAACTCTAAGCAACCACATATTGTGCAGAACTTCCTAAAATCATTACACGTGGAGAAAAACTGAAGACTCTTTTCAGCCTTTTATTTGTAGATGTATCACAAACAAATATTTCAGCAAATATCCTCTACTTTAAAATTGAGATGAAACACTCCGCTATTTTTGGTTTTGGGGACATATTTGTTAACTTGTTTAAAAATGGCAATGCTACCTACAGTTTTGCAAAATATATGACAACAGAGATGTTGAATATATTTGATAACTATATTAATAGTATTTGGCAAGTGAGGATTCTGTCAAAAAACACAGCTATAAATTGAAATAGCACGAAACGAGAACAATCTACAGAAGGAAATTGCCAACATTCTATCAAGTTAGTGAAACCTAGCTGAATTTCATTATAACTACTTATATGTTAAATAAAATATTTTTCTTTTTAGTGAAATATTACAAAAGAAACACTGTTTTCAGGGTCATTTTGCAGCGTGCTTTTCTTGAACTGATATGCATGTCTTTTTAAAATGTTTAGCTTCAGTTTTCTTATACAAGTTGATCTTTATCTTGACGTTTTGATTAAATATATAGGTTTAAAAGGTAATTGGCTTTGCAGTGTCATTCCTGGAAAAGATATAGAAAAATGTAATAATTATTCTTACATTAATTGTACTATGTAATAAAAGAATTGTTTATTGCAAATGCTACAAATCTGAAGACACATCTATTGAATAAGGCCGTACAAAAGCTAACGTCTGTTTTAGCACTTAAAATTGTCTAAAAATGGATAGTATAATAATAAATCACAACCTTATCTTACACTAAAGACTTTCATTCTGAAAGATATGTAAAACTTTTTAAAGCTTCATGAAATCCAATTTTTCATTTTCCTATATATAAATAATAGTATATTTGGAGAAGGTTGTAATGTTTATTCCGCTGTGACTGTTAAAGAGACTGTTTCATTTTGGATCTGATCATACTAGCTGTTCTTTTGTGGATACATCAGATGTTTGCAATTAACTTTTTTATTATTAAATAAGACCACTGATGTTTTATTTGGAATTAGTTATTGGGTATGAAATTAAAGAATAAAATTTTGTGAGTAGAATTCTTTTAAATAAAAGTATACTATGAAGAAACCAATAAATAGAAATGAGTCGTATCAATAAATAGAAATGATACGATAGGAGGCAGCCTTGAAATGGTATCAGTCATTTCAGTACAATTGTTAATATTACATTTTGTCATATTAAAAAGAAAAATAATTGGAGATGAGTATTTAAGCCACTAGATTAGTTTTTTCAATAGTTTTAACTGCTTAGTGATTAACCTATAATACACAACTCAGATAATTGTAAATAACCTCGTATAGATTGCTTTGTCAAACCTCAGAAGTCAGCCCCTATCTTTTTAAAACTACACAAAACATTACCAAATCTTGAACAAAGTAATTTAAAGCCTGAAGAGGAATTTCTTCAGGAATGTTCTCTACCCATACAATTTGCTTCTGTTAGATGTTAAACTTGATGTTTACATGTGCACATCGCAAGGGGCATAGGCGGCTTATTTGTAAAATCATTGCCGATGGCATAGTATGTGCATTTGCAATGTATTCAGTGGCTTACAAGTTCCAATGTCTCTAACATAAATAACCCACAGGAAGATGAGCTCTTGCTATGCATAGGTGTCTTTTTAGGTAGAAAACCAAAAAGATACTTTCCTTGTGCCCTTTCCTATTTGTCTGAGAAGCAGATGTTAATATTTTATATACAATTTACCTTAACCTAATAATTGGCAATAAAGATAAAATAATTTACTGTTTCAGGATTCCTCTGTGTTAACTAATTAAACCAGCGGCAGGCCTGGAGCACAGGACAATGGCAAACTTCCAGCTGAATTAATTTTATGGAAGGACCAGCTGAGTAATGGAACTCCAATTACAGGCAGTTTAGCTCCATCATCACCTTCATACATAATTAAATGGAATTGGTTGATACAGCTTCTATTTTTATGAGGGCGCTTACCAGCTTTCTGAACCCCACTGTGACTTTGGATTCAGGCCAGTCAATTATTAGTCATTTCTCTTTCAAATGGAAATGCTTTGGATTAGTCATATCTTTTGTAATGGTTGCATTAAAAAATATCTCTCTTTTCCAAAGTTGTGGTATACTGGAATCTCTCTTTATGATTCCATGTAGATGGCATATTCATTTATATTGGAATATAGTCAGAGGAGTACCAACAGGTCACAGCTACATGAATCTGAAGGTTTGCTGAGATGACAAACTGTGTCATCTCAGTGGCAGAGGAACCTGGTACTTTTCTTCAGGATGGACCTTTTTTTATTCACCTATTTTTGCAAAACCTCATCCAGAAATCACTATGTTTATTTTTGCAAAGTTCAGGTAATTTGATTCTCTTGAAAGAGACACTTACTATGTTTTGGGCAATACATAGCAATGCTATATAAAAATGCTGTGTATGCGAATATTCTATAAATAAATTTCCATGGATATATAATGATGAATTGATTATGAGGTTTTGATTTGCATGTGCACAAATTTCCATTGTTTATTATTGCAAATATGTACTCAACTGAAAGCATATTTATAGTA